AGGGTTAATAATTTAAAAACAGCTAAAAGACATTTTCCAACCAAGAGAATTAATAGTACAGTTTAGACTCTGAACTCTTCCATGTCTGTGTTCCTTTTGTGTATTTCTGTACAGACAGAAGACGTCTCGGGTCATCAACTACGAGGAGTTTCAGAAAGCTCTGGAAGAGCTGGCTCCAAAGAGGTTCAAAGGTCAAACCAAAGAGGAGGCGCTGCAGTCTATCCACAAGCTGGTGGAAGGCCGAGAGCCTACCAACGTTGGTGTGACGGTGAGACAAGATGCTTGTGTGCCTGTTGTTTTAAAGCTCTAAATCCCACAATAAAGATGCTCAACAGTAAAACAGGAAATTGTGATTCTATGTATATTTTGTGAAATGTATCATTTTTCTTTTTGTGCATATGTGTAAAAACAAAAGCAATGAGTCTCCAAAAGAAAAGACTTAAAGGTAAGTGATAATGTAGTTATATGGATTATATATAATAGTCCCCTCCATGAATCGCCACCTTACCGTGGTGGGGGGGTTTGTGTGCCCAAGTGATCCCAGGAGCTATGTTGTCCGGGGCAGTTTGCCCCTGGTAGGGTCTCCCAAGGCAAACTGGTCCTGGGTGAGGGGCCAGACTAAGTGCGATTCAAAACGTCTATGATTGGATTCATCAAGGACTGAGGACCAGGGATACCAGGACTCCACCCTGGAGCTACACCTGGGGTAGGGCCTCATTTAAGAGGGCAGTAGATAACACAGTGTATTTAAAGTAATGATAAAAAACATCAAGGGGCGAGTGAAGTCGGAACCAGAAGAACATAAAACTGCATCATCTGCATAGAAACTGATTTTTCTGATCAGTTCAGTCGATTTCCCAGCTCCACGCTCTGAGCTACAGTTTGGACAGAAGAGTGTCTGTCTGTGGAAAACAGCAGCATAATCATGAAAACATGATTAGACGAGTTTGATTATGTGCTGCTCATATTTTATATTTAGCTCAGCGTTTAATCACCTCAGGCTCATCTTCTCAGTTTTCAGCTGTAGAAAAACAAGTCCTGAGCTGCTCCACAAACAAGCGTCTTACTCCGCTCTAATGTTTCAGAGCCATGGCTCAATCACAGCTGGTTCATCCATCAGATCACAACTGCACACATCAAAGAGCTCTTATTTTATGATGATGAGGTCCTCAGAGCCTGAGCCAGCAAGTGAGGCGGTCTGGATCCTCTCCAGATCGTTAAACGCTCTTCAGTCATCAGAGCAGATACAGTCAACACTAAGCTGACTGAAATGCACGCATTACAGATGACAATCCA